AATGATGAACAGATCTAGGGATTCTCTAGCACGCTGGTGATGAAGAAGAAAAATATCCCTACCGGGTCTTATGTATGTTCTCAGAGAACGTGCGATTGAGGGAGAGATTTCAGGAACAGAAAACCAAATCGTGACAGAGAAGAAGATAGGCTCGGTCTCGCGCACGTGAGGGAAAAAAAGGTGAAAAATATCTGACAAGTACTCCATCCAATTGGGCCAAGGAATTTGCTAGGTATTGGGCTATATTTAACCTCACAATGGGCTAATTAAATTCACAAGGAAGTGGGCTGGAAATTAATATAAATTTGATAACACGGTTCGGCTCTCGGGCCCGACTACGTAGCGATAATACAGTTTTTACACGAGTTTGATAGGTTAAATCGGATCGCCTCGCAAATTAAATCGCACAATAAAATACATAACTGGATATAATATATTTTTATAATAGACACAATTTAATTTTTTTTAATAATAATAATATTAGTAAAAATACAAATACACATTCTAATTAATTAATGATAACATTTAGACAATTAAACATTTAATCACAATCTAGCAAATAAATCATTTTATACATTTAATAATATTTAGCATTCAATTAATAATAATAATAACAAGAAATAAAGATAATTAATAATAATAATAAAAATAATAATTTTCAAATACTCCATAGTCAATCGGGGCATTGCAGCTGCCCACCGGGTTCCACGTTCTACTCTTACTCGCGATATTCGAAAATTTTGGGTGACAAAAAATTAATTTTGTAACAAACTTTTGAATCTTTAACCCATAGATTATCCATTTGTGCTGATATTTAGACTGACCACTAGCAAAATAACTACTGTCTGGGAATTACTTGTCATTTGATAGATGATACTTAGACTTTACATATATGTTTAATTGGTTACGTTGCATTTCTTGAACGACACACTGCTTCTAATATTGCTCGTTTAATTCCAAAAGTTTTGGATAAATATAAAATTGGTAAAAAAGTGTTTCCATTTCATTTGATAATGCTAGTGCCAATACTGCATCTATAAGTGAACTTACTGATATTTGTACTCCCATTTGTGGGAAAAAAATTCATATTCGTTGTATATGTCATGTCTTAAATCTTCGTGTGCGAGTTGGTTATCATGCTTTTAAAGATTCGGTCACGCCCATTAGGGATGCCATTACATATTTACATAACCATTCTCATGAAATGAAAGAATGATTTAAATTGTGTAAAAATCATGGGTTTAAACCTAAAAAATTCCAATCGGACATCCCTAACCGGTGGATCTCAACATATAAAATGTTGAATGACACTGCTGAGTGGATGGCGAAATTGGAGAATTTTTTTAGTGATAAAAAATGTAAGGACTGTGACGTCCGAGTTACTTCGGATGATTGGTTGAACTGTGGTGCACTTACTCAAACTTAAAAACATTTCAAAATGCTACTGATATGGGATATTATACTATACCGATTTTAATGGATAAAAAGGAATATATTGGAGAATAACCCTACACATGGGCTAGGACACGTGACATGATGAAATTGGTCAAGCCCAACTTGGGCCCTAAGGTTCACTCCTCCTATAAAAAGGGACTAAGGTATCTCATTAATACACTCTCTCTACATTCATGACAATACTCTCATATTGCACTCTTGATTTGGAG